GTGATTGTTTGTCCTAGTCTCAGTTGGTATCCCCCTTCATGCCCCCTGCTTCTGCCTTGGACTTTACCAACTACTCCTAATGGGTGATTGGCTATCCTAGTCTAAGTATCACCCTTGTTCCGACTCCTCCTTTCTGCCTCGGACTGTACTAACTATTCTTAACGCCTGACTGGTTGTCCTAGTCTCAGTATTATCCTTCTTTCCCCGACTTCTGCCTTCGAATATACCAACTACTCTTAATGTTGATTGTTTTTAGTCTCAGTTGGTATCACCTTTCTTTGTTTCTATTATAATGGATGATTATTTGTCCTAGTCTCAATTGGTATCCCGCTTTATGCCCCCTGCTTCTGCCTTGGACTTTACCTACTTCTCCTAATGGGTGATTGGCTATCATAGTCTCAGTTGCTATCACCCTTCTTCGCCCTTCTTTCTGCCTTGGAGTCTACCAACTAATCCTAATTGGTGATTGTTTTAGTCTTAGTTGTTATAACCCTTCTTCCCCCCCTTTTCTGTCTTAGACTCTACCAACTACTCATAATGGGTGATTGGTTGTCCTAAAGTCAGTTGGTATCTCCCTTATACCCCATCCCCTGCGGTTCGCCTTGGACTCTACCAACTATTCCTAATGGGTGATTGGCTGTCCCAGTCACAGTTGGTATCACCCTTCCTGTCTACCCCTTCTACCATGGACTTTACCAACTACCCCTAAGGGGTGATTTGTTTAGTCTTAGTTAGTATCACTTTTCTCCCCCCCCCCTTCTTCGACTCTTATCAACTACTCCTACTGTGTGGTTGGTTGTCCTAGTCTCAGTTGGTCTTCATTCCCCCTCCCCTTATACCTTGGGATCTACCAACAACTCCTAATGGGTGATTGGTCTAGTCTCAGTTGGTATCACTCTTCTTCACTTCTTCCTTAGACAATAAATAAATAAATAAATAAATAAAATTTAAAAAACACCAGGGCTCAGCATCTGTGGCTGAAGCAGCTAAGGCGCCAGCCACATACACCTGACCTGGCCACCAAACAAGAATGATGGCTGGCCACAAAAAAATAGCCGGGCATTGTGGTGGGCACCTATAGTCCCAACTACTTGGGAGGTGGAGGCAGAAGAATTGCTTGAGCCCAGGAGTTAGTTACTGTGAGCTGTGATGCTACAGCACTCTACCCAGGGTGACAGCTTGAGGTTCTGTCTTTTAGAAAAAAAAAAAAACAACCTGAGCAATGCAGGGATAGCCCAGCTCTGTATAAAACTTTAAAAAAAATACTCATAGTGGTGTGTGCCTATAGTCCTAGCTACTCAGGAGGCTGAAGTGGGAGGATCCCTGGAGCCTAGAGGTTCAAGACTACAGTGAGCTGTGATCACTGTACTCAAGCCTAGGCAACAGAGTAAGACCCTGTCTATGAAAAACTAAACAAATACTGAGCTACATGATACTGTTGGTGAGCACAATAGTTCCTTAGAAACTTGAAAAACCAATGTAAAATGAAGTTATTGGGAAAGACTTCACCAAAGAGCTAGGCATTAAAAAATAGCTGTGACCAATTACTGAAAAGGGCATTCTGAGAGAAAGGGAACAAAAATACAGAGTTGAGATAAAAAATGCCTGTATGAGAGTGAGAAGATTGGCTTATCTGAAGAGAAGAGTCACATGTGTGTATATGTGGGGAATAATGGAAAACAATGATGAATATATGATGGTGCCAGATCAAAGATGTCTTAAAAGCTGGATAAAGGCATGTTTTGATTTTCTATATCAGGTATCAAGTAGTACATAGGAAAGATGTGTCTAAGAGGAGGCTACAGGATGAATTAGAAGTGATACAATATGGGCAACACAGCCATTGAAAGAAAGGCTGTTAGCTTAGAGCAATGTGGAATAATAAAAGGTTGGAGGGTATACTTGGAAAAAACTGAAGGAGTAGAACTGGAATGTTCCTAAAACAAAGAAAGATAAATGTCTGAGGTGACAGATACCCCAGTTACCCTGATTTGGTTAATTCACATCATATGGCTATAGCAAAACATCACATGTACCCTATAAATATATGCAACTATTATGCACCTATAATAATTAAAAATAAATTTTAAAAAATTTTTAAAAGGTAGTGTGGAAGAAAAGAAGCAACCTAATGAAGAAATAGGATGATCTGATGACTGTTAAAGATTAAAAAATAAACTTTCTGATGACTTCAAAGCTGATACCTTGGCTTGGCAACCAAGGTCAGTGGTTAGGGCCCCGGCTACATGCACCTGAGCTTATGGGTTCGAACCTGGCCTGGGCCTGCCAAACAACAATGACAACTGCAACAAAAAAAATAGCTAGGCGTTG